TTTCGCCTGTAAGCCTTCATAACCTCTTTCTTTTGACACCCATATTGCAATATCTAATTTATGTAATTAATTTACTTATATTGAAATTTTTAAAAAGGTGGCAACTCTCTATTTTTTCTGGTTTTGACCATCCGGATATTATAAAAAACAAACCGAAAAAATAAAAATATTAAAATCGGTCAAGCTGTTTTCGAGTCTTAGCGAGGCTAACGGACAGCAATTCATTTTTATATATAAGATATCTTCTTTTAAAAATGCGCAGGCTCGTAATTAACTTTAGAGCTATGGTCTGGAGGAATTTTTTTCTTAGAATTTTATGAAGAATCCGAATATGCTAGGAACAATGTCGAAAAAAATCGATCCATACAAATTGACCCGCCCTAATGTATATATATCAGTCTTTCTTAGTTTAAAAATTCATCTCTTACATAAATGAAAAAAGAAATGGGATCAAATTAAGCATATACAACTTTTTCATGCCAAGTATGAATAAATTCTTCAAAGGGCAAAAAAAGGGCTAGGGACAATCTTAAATTTATGTGGTCAAGAACAGGATGTGGGGGCTAAATCTAGCCACCAAAGGGCTAAAACGGCAACACTGAGACCAAGGCTTTTAATTCGATACCTAATTTTTTAAAGTCGAAATAACGGTACAGATCGGATGATATGACAAAAAAGCTTTCGCGTTTAATGCAAACATAAGTACTAAGTATGTATACTAGACTACATCACCAAAAAAAGTTGCGGTTTTTCCACCGGGATTACAAAATTTATTATATTTTAAGATGCCCACCAAAATATTTCGCAAAAATATTAAGATTTAAGCGAGCTGGACCCATTTTGAAAATACCACCAAAAATGAAGTTTTTTATGAATAAAAATAGTTTCTTAAAGAACTTTTTGAAAAAAGTCCACTCAGATGACAAAGCAGATTAGGCTTAAAAAATCTGCATAAAAATATTTAAAAATCTTTTCAACGGAATCGTAATATGAGATTTTCGATGCTGTTTTTTTACTCTTTCCAAAGATTGATTTACGAAAAACTTAAATAACTGGGCCAAAACTATTCTGATTTAGACTTGTGAGATCTCGGTAGAAAGGCATTTTCCCACTATTTTTATTTATGTGCAAAAATATGTCATTCGTGTCCGATTTTTTTTTTTTAAATACCAACACATCTTAATTCAACTTTGAATGATGTTCGTTCATCCTACCTTTCTCTTTCATCCTTTGAATGAGCTTATTAGCAAAGAAATAAAAAGGGTTAGAAAATATCTTTCCAATGATATCTCACAAGTCTAAATCGGAAGAGTTAAGGTTCAGTTATTCAAGTTTTTCTTATACCAATCTTTAAAAAATGTTAAAAAAACAGCATCAAAAATCTCATTCCGTTCAAATTTTTTTTTTAGTACTTTTATCCAAATTTTTTAAGCTTAAAGCGTTTTGTCATTTGAGGGGATTTTTTCAAAAAGCATCTTTAAGAAACTATTTTTATTCATAAAAAAAATCTATTTTTGGAGGTATTTTCAAATCGGTCCAGCTCGCTAAAATCTTAATATTTTTCCGAAATATTTTGGTGGACGTCCTAAAATATAATAGATTTTGTAATTCCAATGGAAAAACAGTACCGATTTTTTTTTTGTATGGGGAGTGATGCAATCTAATGTATATATATGGATGTACATTGTACATATCGTCGCTTCAGAAAACGGATGACGAATGTGCAAAATCACGATTTTGGGATTTTGATGCAGATTTACTAAGTTGGACATGCTCTTTTGATTTCTGCAATCCCCCTTAGTTTTTGAGATATTTCGTGCGCATTTTGTCGTATGTTACATAATAGTAATGATTGGGTATGCCTTTTGTTGTATGTGCTGAAAATGCGTCACATACGACAAATTCCCATACAAACGTACTTTTTTTAAATCATAAAACATTTGTCGTATGTGGCACATACGACAAATTCCCATACAAATGTAATCTTTTTTTAATCATAAAACATTTGTCGTATGTATCGCAAATCTTTGAACTTACGACAATTCGATGGTTCTCTACTATAACGACACAACTAGAATAGGAAATTAAACTAAGTAACTAATTTTAAAATTTAAAATTTTTAAATTTTAGCTTGCACTGAGTCTCCAATGAAATGAAAGANGCTTAAAGCGTTTTGTCATTTGAGGGGATTTTTTCAAAAAGCATCTTTAAGAAACTATTTTTATTCATAAAAAAAATCTATTTTTGGAGGTATTTTCAAATCGGTCCAGCTCGCTAAAATCTTAATATTTTTCCGAAATATTTTGGTGGACGTCCTAAAATATAATAGATTTTGTAATTCCAATGGAAAAACAGTACCGATTTTTTTTTTGTATGGGGAGTGATGCAATCTAATGTATATATATGGATGTACATTGTACATATCGTCGCTTCAGAAAACGGATGACGAATGTGCAAAATCACGATTTTGGGATTTTGATGCAGATTTACTAAGTTGGACATGCTCTTTTGATTTCTGCAATCCCCCTTAGTTTTTGAGATATTTCGTGCGCATTTTGTCGTATGTTACATAATAGTAATGATTGGGTATGCCTTTTGTTGTATGTGCTGAAAATGCGTCACATACGACAAATTCCCATACAAACGTACTTTTTTTAAATCATAAAACATTTGTCGTATGTGGCACATACGACAAATTCCCATACAAATGTAATCTTTTTTTAATCATAAAACATTTGTCGTATGTATCGCAAATCTTTGAACTTACGACAATTCGATGGTTCTCTACTATAACGACACAACTAGAATAGGAAATTAAACTAAGTAACTAATTTTAAAATTTAAAATTTTTAAATTTTAGCTTGCACTGAGTCTCCAATGAAATGAAAGAAATAAAAATGTACAAAAGAATGAATTTAAGTAGTGTTTTTTGTTTTTATATAAAGAAAACGTATGTTCGTAACATATTTACAGCATAAGATATGTACAAATTTTTTTTATTAATTACATGAATATGTTTTTGTTATGTTTTTTCTAATAAGTAATCATTATTTAAAAAATATGTCTGGTTTTTTCATCAAATTATAGAATCGTCGTTGAAATAGATACTTTAGTATTGTCGTATGTTCTATGGACAAAACAAAGTAGTGAGTAAACGCTACTTACGACAAATGTATACGGAATGAAAAGTCAATTTTCTCATTAACGTTAAGAGATATTAAATGTAAAAATATGGAATATCAAAACAAATAACACCAACTACGTCTCCTTCAAAAATTACAAAAATCTACCGTACAGTTACGGATTAATTCGAACTTAAACTTTAAAGTCAATTTTCTCAAAACCGTGTTTTGCAACATTCGACATCCGTTTTCTGAGACGACGATATGTATCAGTGTTGGCACTAATGATTTTTTAATCAATTAGTTAACTCGATTAAATTTAATCCGATTAAAGTTAATAATGATTAATTTTAATCTGATTAAACAGTTAATCGTAACCACGATTAAAAAAATGAATTTTTAATCATTAACCCTTAATTTAATTAAGTAGGTTTGGTGTTTAATTAATTTATGATGGAATTTTGCTGTGCACACAAGGACAGTTAATCGGGTATGGCTAAGTCGGTTTTCCTCATCAATCTAAGCAATTTGGTGTGCATTTTCATGAAGATCTATTCCAACAGACGTTTTACAAACTAGGTTTTAATATCCCTCTGCACATGTGCGCTGGGTTGTAAAAGTTCCCGTTTATGCATTACTAATAGCAATAATTATAATTTTTTTTTATATTATGTGCTTTTTGTAAGCGTAAAACACGAAATAATTACTGTAACTGGTATTTGGTTTCAAATTCGGACAAACTAGACAACTTAATCAGTTTCTTTTTAATTGGATTCACGATTAAAGATTAAAATTAATTAATAGTAATCGCCGCCAACGATCAACGATTACAAAAATTTAATCATTCAGTTGATTACGATTAATTAATTTTAATCGTCAATCGCGATAAACATTTTAATCGTTAATTTTTAATCATTAATCAGATTAACATATTACCAACACTGATATCGTCACTAGACACGAATAAAGGCGCGCTAGTGTTTCGACGGCGAAAAAAGACGCATACAAAAACTTTTCGAAAAAAAGCCCTTAAGAAAAACTTCGGCGAAGAAAGACGCGTAATCATAGATTTATACTTGGCGAAGGACTGTCACTTCAGCAATATTCCCCAAAAACTATTAACCAGAGACTGAAAATAAAAGTTATTTTAAAAATTTTTGATATCAAAAAGGCACAGTGAAAAAATTATGCTATAGTTTTTTCAAAGGTACCATTAGACTCGGCTCTCATTGTAGATTCTGATTCCTCCAAGACTTTTAAAAATATGACTTTTATCATTTTGAGCAAATAATACCGATTATTTCTGCTTTTTATTTTTTTAAGGCAAAAATAAAAGTTAAAATTTGCCTTTTATTTTTTTGAGCAGAAAATAATCGGTAATTGTTGACTTTTATTTTTTCAGGCAAAAATAAAAGTCAAATTTAAAAATCAAGTATTCCAGAGCTGTGTATATTCGAATGTGATAGTTTTGAAGCTCCTTCATGGATTTTAATAACTCCTATACCCAAATACCAGGGTTAGGTCAAATCTATACACATACTAGCAGACCCGGCGAACTTCGTCCCGCCCAAAATTAATTTTTTGTATTGAAACATTTTGGTACAACATTTTCACCAACAGTTCACGTCCATGATTTTCAGTGACGCATTTATCTTCTAATATTACGGTTTCGTGGTTGTCGGAAGGCATATTTCCATTACCATCTTAAATAACCTAGCAAAATTTTTTATGCATACAAAGATACGTAATAGCTTCAGTACCGTTTGAAAGGCGCCGTACCCCCCTTATAAAATAGACGCAATTTTTTCTAAGAGTATGGGAGTGATTTCTCATATTTCCATACCATGTTCAAGTACTCTACCATGAACACTTCCAGAGATATGCAGTGTGAAATATTCGGTTTGCATGGGAGGTGCCACGCCCCTTTTTCCAATAAGCCAAATTTTTCTTCATGACTATGCGATTGATTTTATATGTCTTGTACATACCAAGTTCCAGTACTCTACCATGAACACTTCAGAGATATAAGAGTGTGAAAATTTCGGTTTGATGGGAGGTGCCACGCCCCTTTTTCCAATAAGCCAAATTTTTCTTCATGACTATGCGATTGATTTTATATGTCTTGTACATACCAAGTTCCAGTACTCTACCATGAACACTTGCAGAGATATAAAGTGTGAAAAATTTGGTTTGTATGGGAGGTGCCACGCCCCCTTCACTTAGCGGTATGAAACATACTTTACACCCTATTGTCATACCTACGAAATATACATAAAAAATTTCATTCAAATCGGTTAAGCCGTTTCGGAGGAGTTCGACCACAAACACCGTGACACGATATTTTTATATATTAGATTTTTCATACAAAAATACCAAAAGATCTAAAAGAAAAAAATAGAGAAAATTTTTTTTGGATAGGGACACCCTAATTGCCAAATTCCAGTACTCTATCGTAAACACTGCCAGAGGTATGCAGTATGAAAAAATCGGTTTGTATGGGAGGTGCCACGCCTCCTTTTCCAATAACCACAATTTTTCTCCATGAGTATGCGATTGTTTTCATATATCTCCTAACCAGGTTCGAGTACTCTACCATGAACACTTCCAAAGTTAAACAAAATGAAAAATTCGATTTGTATGGGAGGTGCCCCGCCCCCTTTTACGATAACCATAATTTGTCTCCGTGAGTATGCGATTGCTTTCATATATCTCCATACCATGTTCGAGTCCTCTTCCATGAACATTTTCCGGGATATGCAGTATGGAAAATTCGGTTTGTATGGGAGGTGCCACGCCCCCTTTTCCAATAACCGCAATTTTTCTCCATGAGTAGGCGATTGGTTTGATATATCTCCATACCATGTTCGAGTACTCTACCAAGAACACTTTCAGAGATATGCAGTATGAAAAATTCGGTTGTATGGGAAGTGCCACGCCTCCTTTTCCAATAACCACAATTTTTCTCCATGAGTATGCGATTGATTTCATATATCTCCATACCATGTTCGAGTACTCTACCAAGAACACTTTCAGAGATATGCAGTATGAAAAATTCGGTTGTAAGGGAAGTGCCACGCCCCCTTTTCCAATAACCACAATTGTTCTCCATGAGTTTGCGATTGGTTTTATATATCTCCATACCAAGTTAGAGTACTCTACCACGAACACTTCCAGAGATATGCAGTATGATAAATTCGGTTTGTATGGAAGGTGCCACGCCCCCTATTCCAATAACTACAATTTTTCTCCATGAGTAGGCGATTGGTTTGATATATCTCCATACCAAGTTAGAGTACTCTACCATGAACACTTCCAGAGATATGCGGTATGAAAAATTCGGTTTGTATGGGAGGTGCCACGCCCCCTTTTCCAATAACCACAATTGTTCTCCATGAGTATGCGATTGGTTTTATATATCTCCATACCAAGTTAGAGTACTCTACCACGAACACTTCCAGAGATATGCAGTATGATAAATTCGGTTTGTATGGAAGGTGCCACGCCCCCTTTTCCAATAATCACAATTTTTCTCCATGAGTATGCCATTGGTTTGATATATCTAGATACCAAGTTAGAGTACTCTACCATGAACACTTCCAGAGATATGCAGTATAAAAAAATCGGTTTGTATGGGAGGTGCCACGCCCCCTTTTCCAATAACCACAATTTTTCTCCATGAGTATGCGATTGGTTTGATATATCTCCATGCCAAGTTAGAGTACTCTACCATGAACACTTCCAGAGATTTGCAGTATGAAAAAATCGGTTTGTATGGGAGGTGCCACGCCCCCTGAACCTAGCGGTATGAAATATACTTTACATCCGATTCTCATATCTACCAAATATACACAATTTCATAAAGATCGGTCCAGCCGTTTCGGAGGAGTTCGACCACTAACACCGTGACACGAGATTTTTATATATTAGATGTATAAA